CAGATGCTGCCACGCAATGGAGAAAAGTCAATGGAATTGGAAACGTAACTATTAACTAGGGCAGAAGGAGAAGCAAGGCAGAAGCAGCGAGAGAGAAGGGATTGCACCTCACAGAGCTAAACCCCTCACTCCGCCATGAGACCAGCCAAAGCCTTCCTTAAGTCCTACAGGATTCAGTTACGCAATCAGTAAAGGGAGAGAAGCCGCAGTGAAGGAGGCAGAGTAAAAGGAGGCTTTTTGATAACAGTTCCGCAGTTCCTGGTTTTTCTGAAACATACATGCCTGTTGTCCCATCCAAGTTAAAAAACAAACAAGCTCGGTTTTCTAGCAAGGACTACCTACTTTGAAGAACAATGCTTTTATCTAATTCAGAAAAGGTTCCCTTTATTATAAGCACTGTGGACTAACACCCACCTGGAGTCAAGTGTGTTGAGTCAGACAACTCTGCCAAAGGAACCAGGACTGTGAACTTTTAAGAAACCCTACAAACAATGTTACCACAAATTAAACAGGCTTCAAACACTGTGGGGAGCAACTGAGACTAGACCAAATTATTCGAAATAAGACTAATTCTATGCATCTGATCTCCCACAATATGGCGCTGAGACAGTAAACAACTTCCACACAGCTGCCTCACCAGTTCAACTGATAAGCTGCAGGAGCTGATCCTGCTCCTGATTGGAGGAGAGCAGCGTGCTCGGCGTGTGGGTAGCAGAGCATGGGTTGGTGGAATAGGACTATAAAGGAGAGAGACAACATGCACCAGGAACACCTGAGCAACTCCTGAGAGAGCAGGCCAGCGGTGTGCCGCTCCTCCGCAGAAGCGGGGAAAGCGGCGGGGGTGCCGCCCCTCCGCGGAGGCGGGGGGGGGGGCGGCGCTAACCCGGGACGGCGTCATTCCTCCGCGAGTGAGGGAACGGCAGCCAACCCGGGAAGGGCCGGGCAAAGAGAACAGCGCAGGGTCCGGTGTCGTTCCTCTGCGAATGGGGGAGCGACATAATGGTGCTGTGACCCGGATATGAAACCTAGGAGGGAAAAAGTGGGAAAATACTGGAGAGAGACTAGGGAAGAGCCTAGGGAAAAGCCGGACGGAAAAAGTGCCGGAAGAAGCTATCGAAAGCCTAGGCATAGACTCGGATACGGACTGTGGGGAGAAGCTAGGAGAAATGAGAGAGAAATATTGCTGGAAGAAAGCTAGGAAAAGTACCGGGGAGAGAAAAATATAAGCTAGGGAAAGTGAAGCCGCGGGGGTAGGCTGAAGCGGAGACGTAAGGTAGGTTGGGATTCCTCAAGTTAGCCCGGGAGCAAAAGGCGAAAAACTAAACCAGAAGCGGAGACGTAAGCTAGGTTGGCATTCGTCAGATTAGCCCGGGAACAAAGACTGAAGCTAAACTATAGCGGAAACGTGAGCTAGGCCGTGATTTGCGGAAGCCGCTGAGCACAGAGAGAGCACGCGGGGCACGAGCGGAGAGAGTGTGCGGGGCGCGAGCAGATAAGAGAAGTGCGGGGTGAGCACAGAGGCCGCGGAGACCGCGGAGCGCGCGCAGAGCCGGGAAGCCGTGCAGATAGGAGGGAGATAGAAGTATAGAAGTAAAATGAGAGGAATAAGAATGCTGGGAGATAGAAGTAAAATAAGAGAAATAAGAATGCCCGGAGATAGAAGTAAAATGAGAGGAATAAGAATGCTGGCAGATAGAAGTAAAATAAAAGAAAAAGGAATGCCCGGAGATAGAGAAAAATAGAGAAAAATAAAAAAGGCCTCCCCACAACACGGCAATGAGAGGGCTCGGATTCGGTCTGCCTGATTAGTAAGGCGGTAAGCACCTGCGGGCAGCTCTAGCAGAGCAGAGTGTGCGCCACGGGGCACCGAAGACAGGAGCGTATCAACGCCAAAGAATAAAAAGAAAGGGGGAACTGTGGGGAGCAACTGAGACTAGACCAAATTATTCGAAATAAGACTAATTCTATGCATCTGATCTCCCACAATATGGCACTGAGAGACAGTTAACAACTTCCACACAGCTACCTCACCAGTTCAACTGATAAGCTGCAGGAGCTGATCCTGCTCCTGATTGGAGGAGAGCAGCGTGCTCGGCGTGTGGGCAGCAGAGTTGGGATTGGTGGAAGAGGACTATAAAGGAGGAGAGAGACAACATGCACCAGGAACATCTGAGGGAAACACCTGAGGAACCCCTGAGAGAGCCGGCCGGCGGTGTGCCGCTCCTCCACGGAAGAGGGGAAAGCAGCGGGGGTGCCGCCCCTCCGTGGAGGCGGGGGGGGGGGGGGGCAGCTAACCCGGGACAGCGTCGTTCCTCTGCAAGTGAGGGAATGGCAGCCAACCCGGGAAGGGCCGGGCAAAGAGAACAGCACAGGGTCCGGTGTCGCTCCTCCGCGAATGGGGGAGCGACAGAACACCAACGTGTTACCTCACAGATGTGTCATGGAAGTGCAGCTGCCAGGCCAGCTGGGTGGATTCCTTGCTCAGGGTCCTTCAGGTTTTGTTCCTCTCTGTAGGCTCCGCGGGCGCTGTTTGCTGAGTGACACTGTGGGGTCATGGGAGCCAGGGTCCTGTGTCTTTAAGGTCTGCCCCTGGGGGCTGCCTTCTTAGGGTCCTCCATCCTCCTCCAGAGCAGTGGGGTGCCTCTCCTTTCCCTGGGAGGGCCCTGTCCCAAATAAGTGCTCTCCCGACTCGGTCGGGGCCTGCGATGCAACCTCCCTGTTTGCAGGCCAACTGCTCCGGTCTTTTAACATCGTCAGCAAAGCCTTACAGGTGCACGGAAGGACCTCGATTAGGGTTTTATTGCAGACCTGGGCAAAAACACGCACCCACCTGAGAAGAGGGAATCTCGGGGCTATTCAGAATCACTCCCCACAGCAGGCCCATCTCTTGAAAGAAAAGTAAGAGCTGATCTACATCCCACAGGTCAAAAATCTTTAAGCATGTAAGTGCAAGCCTGAACTTCTTTCTTGCTTTATTCTAATTGACAAGTAAACATTATCTGTATTTAGGATGTGCAGTATGCTGTTTTGCTGTATGTGCACAATATGAAATAATTACCACAGTGAGGCTAATGACCATAACCATCATCTCCTACTTGTTTGTGTGTGTGTTTGTGGGTGCGGTGAGAACATTGAAGATCCACACATCCAGATTTCAAATATCCTGTCTTCTAAACTTTCTTGACAAGACACTCTGCTCTTCTAGAACAGTTAGTGAAAGTTGGGAACAACTTACAAGATGAAGAAAAGCATCATGGACTTCAGAATCAGCAGCAATTGGACTGTGGAGACCATGATCTTGAGTATCTTCCAGCTCTCGTCACATTTTCCCAAACATCAACTTTTTAAAAGGGAAACAGTGCACCTAAACGGATAAAAGGGATACCCGAAAGATACAACAGGGTGTGTGGTTTGCTGGTTAGAATTTCTAGAGATGTTTTAGCATTAAATGAAGCTGCTGGGTCCTGTTCCTAGGCTGCATGCAGTTCAATATATTACACTCTTCTTTTGCTTATGTTCTTTATTTACACCAATTAAAAGAATTTCATTATCTTTCAAGGTTATAGATGCTTCCAATTTCAAGGCCTAATGTATTAAAATCAATTCAGTGTTCCTGTAATAATAAGGCTTTGTCAACTTGCTTGGCATGATCCACAATTAAGAAGAGAGAAAGCAGAATGCACAATGACATTATGCTGAATTTTAATGTTGCACTGACATTCCTGGACCTTTAATCCCACTTAATTCAGTTCCTATTTACCGAGAGGTTATGCCGTGTCTCATCTTGTGCCACACTGCAAGTTTCCTAAGGGCACCTTTGTATTCCAAGCACAGAGTTCGATGTTCAGTACTTGGGAGGTTCTCAACTCTTTTCCAGGATGGTCTAGCACATTTCCTGCTGTCTAGTTGCAAGGATGGAAATGTGACAAATGGCAGAGTGAAATAAAGGACTAACTCAGTCGGCAGTATCTGTGTTACACAGAAAGACCTCCAGAGATCTAAACCCTGGAACCAGACTATGCTGTTGCGTGGAAAAGGAATTAAGGTAAGAGATGGAATAAGGTTACAGACCAGTGCACCTTAAATCACAGAAGCCTGCAAGACAGGAAGAGGAAGGCAGCAGAGGCATATGTAACACAAAGACCAGATCTAGAATCACCCACACAAGAGCAAGGAAGCTGCCAGAAAACACAAACCTGTGCTCACCTTGATATCAGCTCAGTGAAATGGATTTCAGGTGGGCAGCCTGCAGAACTGCAAGGAACAGGTTTGTGGTTATCGGTCAGAGCAGCCACAGGAAATTAACCCAAGGTCACAGAATTGGCTTCAGCTGGGAAAAGGCTTCACCGTGGTGGCATTTGCCGAGATGGGAATGGCCCATGTGCAGTGGAGGAAGCCGACTGAGCTCAATTCCCTTCTCCAGTGTGGTCCCCTCAGTGCAGCACTGGCGGAACTGCTTTTTCTTGGAAATGCATCAAGTCGGGCCTGCACTGAGTGACCCAGCCAGAACCAGTGCTTGACCGATGTCCCGGAACTGTCTGCCTCTGTGTGACAGCTGCAGAAGCAGGCTACCTTAGTAACACCCATTTCAAAATGTGGAGAAATCCTTCATTCCTTTTTGACACTCAAATATCTCTAAAAGGTTACTCACACACACAGGAGGCTAGGTTGTAGGTGGTTTCCACAGACAAAAGAAAAAAAGGAAAATATTTCTACTGCTCTTAAATTACGAAAAAAGGTGCTTTAGTAAATCCATTCGCATTCATCCGCAAAGAATCTTCCCTCTTTGAAAACTGTCATGAGCCGAAGGATTATAAATGTCAAAATCTTATTACCTTTATATAAATATTAGAATCCCTGGAACAGTACTCATACAGCCATCTTGTGGGGGACATAATAATTTCATTCACATAATACATTGCTTCAATCACTTTAATATAAAAGACAGCAGTGTTCCCACATTTCACATAATATTTTTAAAAAATTTTAAAACCCTCTAATAAGTATTTAACGAAAATAAATTTATTAAAGGTTAACAATGGCCACAAAATTAATACTACCAAATCATCAGTGATGCCTTTTACATTAACAACTGTATCTGGAGGACAAGTGCAGAAAACAGAACAGAATTCCTACATTTTTGCCCAGCCTTTCTGGACTGGCTAAATCCTGAGCATTCCAGAAGACATATTCCATCTGTCTGCAAAGATATTCAATTGGAGTCACACTTAAAGGTATTAAAATACCCATCCATCAAGTCATCCCACCTGCTACAAAATGAATAAGCAACAACCCAATGAGTCTTTCTAGGAAAAAGATCCAGCTAAAAAGGAGAACATTAACAGAGAAATAGTAACATTGATCAGAATAAGTGAATCAGTATAATCAAGAAAGATATATAATTATTCAACATAATTTGGTTTGGTTAGATCAATGCAACTCACTTTATCTATGGACAACATCGTGAGGGAAATGAGGCACATGAGCCAGAGCCCTCCTTGTAAATGCACAACTAATAATCCTATTCCAACCAACCTATAACGTAAAAGCACTGAATCCACATTAACATATAACAGTACATCTCACAATAATATAGATGTCAAATCATTATGGCTACACTGTTTTTCATTAAGGTACACAATTTAAGAAAACTTCACAAGACTGTTCCTTTCGACAGTTGCGATGTGTATACAATATCGACAAAACAGGCACCTCTATTGTAATTTTTTTTAATAAATAAAAGCACATTAAGACAAAAAGAAGGTAAGCAGCACCTGAAGCCGTTGACATTTGTCACTAAATGCTGGTACCAGATGGTCTAGCAGGTTAAGTGTCACTACGAGGCGCAGAAAGGAACCATTTTGGATTTAACATTTTAATTCTAGTAGAGACAAGAGCTTCTCCGGGCTCACAGTCCAGCCCCCCGCAGCAAGCAGGAGAGCAGTCCTTCAAACGTCCTATACTTTGGAAAGCAGGCCTGACTCTGGAGCACTCGCCTTAATTAGATTCTGAATCTCCTTGAATTTGGGATGGTCTTTATCAGCCACCAGCTGCAGCAGGACAGCCTCGCTCGTGGTCACTATGATGCCGGTTCGGGCGAGACGCTTGCAAAGGGAAGATAAGAGGAACAGAGAAGTCAGCCTGAGAATGAACACTATCTTAAAGCAGCCAAAGTATAATGAGACACATTAATTAACGTCCTCTACAACACCAAGGTCACAGCATCAAATTCACTTAGTAAAACAGACTGGAAACAAATAAAAAACAAACAAAACAAAAACCCAACAAAACAGGTAGTCAATGTTACGATCCAGTCGCACAGGCCAGGGGCAGGAGGGTGAGCTAGGGTCCCAACCCCAGAGAGAGCAGGGGATGCCGTAACCAGTCCCCACCACCACCACCACCGGCCTCTGGACACCTCTCAAACGCACAACCTACAGACATCTGCTTCATCCCTCACTCATTCATTCACTCACTTAAATAAGGGCTGCTTTGGACTTACGCTGGAATTGATTAAACTCTCTATTGTTTCTCCGATAGAGATTAAAAACACCTAGTGACTCACATCTCCCTCTCTGCAGTTTAACTGATGTATTATACAAGCCTGTGTATACAAGCTCATACCTGGCACTGAGTGGTTATGTATTTAAAAGAAACAGGGAAGGGCTAGCCCTACTAAAGCTCCAAGAGCTGTTCTATGGCTAGAACTCAACTAGTATTCCATTACTAATTTATTATCCAATATTTCATATAATAACATTTTTCACATATTAAAACTACTGTCAAAATTAAAACGATCCTTCCCCTCTCCTTCCTGTCCCCAGTCATCCTGTCCCCAGTCCGTGAGTCCCTCCCATAAGGCTGAGTTCCTGTCTGTGCGAATGGTGGTGGATGAGCTGCCTGTCAACCAGTGACAATGGGACCACCGCTAGTGGCACCTTCAACTTCAGAATCATGAAACCAGAGTGCAAACTTTAAGGTCGCGTAAAGTCTCCCTGACAGGTCAAAGGACGTCCTGGCCAAAGTGCTGCAGAGGAGTTCCAATGACCAAGAGCTCAAGCAGGGGAAGAGGAGCCAGAGAAGGAGGGCTGGAGGCGGGGAGAGGAGGAGCAGGGGGAGGGAGGCAGGACGGGGAAGGGAAAGAGACTTCCACAGCAGAGAAGCCCCGACTGTAAGAGGAAGTGGTCAGGAAAATTCCTTGGCGGTCAGTGGAGACCCAGGGTGAGTTCGGGAATGCCACCCTTATACAGGGAGCCGTGGCCACTGTTCCGTCAGACCCAGTCTTTCCACTGCACACAAAGCTTTCTTCATGCCCCAGGAACAGAGGGGAGCAGAAGCCATCAGCACCCACTGAAAGCAGCCAAGGGCACAGCAAACACCAGGGGGTGGTGGAGCAAGAGGAGACAGGGAGCAGGCTGGCTGGTGCCCCAGGGGTTCCGACAAGTGCCCAAGGTGCTTATCTCAGGTGGTCTTCCCTTTTATTAAAGACCTCTGGGGGCCAGCATTGTGGCGTACTGAGTTAAGACGCCACCTGCAGCACCAGCATTCCATATGGGTGCCACTTCAAGTCCTGGCTGCTCCATTTCCGATCCAGCTCCCTGCTAACGTACTTGGGAAAGCTGAGAGGATGGGGCCCCTGCATCCATGTGAGAGATCCAGATGATGTTCCTGGCTCCTGGCTTCAGCCTGGCTCAGTCCTGGCCATCGTGGCCATTTGGAGAGGGAACTGGTAGATGGAAGATCTCTATCTGTCTTTCCCTCTTGCTCTTTTTTTTTTTTTTTAAGATTTATTTATTTATTTGAAAGTCAAAAGTTACACAGAGAGAGGAGAGGCAGAGAGAGAGAGAGAGAGGTCTTCCATTTGATGGTTCACTTCCCAACTGGCCACAACAGCCGGAGCTGTACTGATCCGAAGCCAGGAGCCAGGAGCTTCTTCCAGGTCTCCCACGTGGCTGCAGGGGCCCAAGGACTTGGGCCATCTTCTACTACCTTCCCAGGCCATAGCAGAGAGCTGGATCAGAAGAGGAGCAAGCGGGTATTGAACCGGAGCCTATATAGGATGCCGGCACTCCAAGCCAGGGCGTTAACCTGCTGAGCCACAGCGCCGGCCCCTCCCTCCTGCTCTTTCAAATAAATAAAATTAATCTTAGAAAGAAAAAGACATCTGGAAATTCAGCTTCCACCTCCTTGTTTAGTCAACTGATTATAATACTGAAAACCTTCTAAATGTCAGAAGGCCTTGTGCCTGCTCCAGACAGAAAGGAATGGAATCAAAATAAATCTCACTGCAGACGAGAGGCAGGAAAACGGCAGTGAATATCCCACTGTCCAAACCTGGTTCACCCTCACCACTGCCTGCCCTGCCCTACACTCCCAACTGCTGCTTGCTGTTGTATTTGTCTGTTCATTTATCAATCTGAGAGGGAGGGGGAGAGGGAGGGGGAGAGAAAGAGAGAGAGATCTTCCATTCACTTGTTCATTCCCCAGATGCTCTCAAGGCTGGGATGAGCCAGACAGAAGCTGGGAGCCAGGAACTCAATCCGGATCCCCAACATGGGTGGCAGGGCTTCAGTAACCTGAGCCATATCACTGTCTCACGTGGTCTGAGTTAGCCGGAAGCTGGAGTCAGGAGCAGGAACCATGGGCTGAACCCAGGTACTCTGCTGTGGGATTCAGTGTCTTCACCACCTGCCCCTTCACTGCTCACTGCTGCCTCCGTGGCCTTGCTGTGACTCAGCCCGAGTCACACAACCAGTGTCTGTCAAGTGCGATCCTCACTCCAACGAGGCAGCAAAGCTCTGGACTCACTGAGCTTCCCAGGTGCCTAGCGAGGCAGGCAGGGGAGAAACCTGTTTCCGAGTCTAGGGAAGCAGTCTGTGGCAAGGACGTCCGCCTTGCCCTGGTGCTCCAGGTCCATTCTGCCCCACGAGGCTGAGTGAGGACGAGAGTTCAGTCACAGAGGCAGGGGCAGGCTGGGACACTGCTCACCGAAACAGCTCCTTGAGAAGTGACCCCTACACAGGGCTACCTAGCTTCCAGAGTGTGATGTGACCAATACTGAGTTTAAAATAACCCAGCCTGTTAGGGAAAGGTGTGGTTTAGCAAAATGCAAGGTTTCTGAATCCGGCTCGCAGACCCGTCCATAGTGCCTGCCCCAACCTGCACAGGAATCGGAGCAGACAGCAACAGCAGTGGGCTTTCCAGACACAGCTGGCAGGTCTCTGCCCCTCTCAGCAAGTCCCTGCCCCCCGACAGGGGGTCCAGGGGGTCCCAAGCCCGCTTTTGCTCTTAGGTTAAAAAGAGGGCACTGAAAATCCCACTGTTTAAAGCATACCTAGGTGCATGTGGGTTAGGCTTCTGAAGCTCTCCCCTTACACATGGAAACCAGTCCAACTAGGCCATTGGAAAGGAAGGGTGCTCTGACCTGGAAACCTTCACCTGTAAGAGCACAAAGGCACGAGGAGGGCCAGAAGAGGAAGCCCATTCAGTTTCCAAGCATCACACAACACTCTCTGGAAGCACCAGACATCAAGTTCAGGAGAGAGTGCGTCTCCTGTACCCTGAGTGCTGCAGAGCTGTACAAACCTTCCTGACAGATGGTCGGTGCCCAGGAAACACTTACTGAGCAAAGCATGTACCACAGACCCCAGTAAAGTTCAAATCATGCTCCCCATGCAGACCATGAGTCTAATAATCTCAACAGGATATTTTCAGCAAATAGGCTACGTTCTCCACTAAGGCAACAGAGGAGGAGGAAGTAGGACACACTACTAGTTTAACTTCCAGTTATTCAAGAAAGAAAAACCATTTCTCCTAAAATTCTGGAACAAACTAAACCACCTATATATCAAATTAAAACTAAGAAGTGGCTAGCATTGTGGTGTCACAGGTAAAGCTCCCATCTGTGATGCCGGCATCCCTTATGGGCAACGGTTTGATTCCCAGATTCTCCACTTCCTGTTCAGCTCCCTGCTACTGTGCCTGGGAAAGCAGTGAAGATGGCCCGAGTAGTTGGGTCTCTGCACCTATGTAGGAGACCTGGAAGAAGTCTCTGACCCCTGGCTTTGGCCTGGCCCAGCCCCAGCCATTATGGCCATTCAGGGAATGAACCAGCAGATGAAAGATCTCTCTCTGTCTCTCCCTCTCTGTCTGTGTAACTCTTTCAAATAAATAAAATGCATAGATAGTAGGTTCTTCCCTTCCTTTCTCAGATAAGTCCCTTCTCGGTCTGAGAATTTATGTAAGTATACATTTCTGGTGATATTAACTTCATGAAAACAACAACAAATAATCAAAACAATTTTAAAAACCCGGTAGCTAATTGGAGCATTTACTATTCAGGCATGCTACCACTTGCTATGAATACATTATCTTATTTAATCCTTGTAAATTTCCTATGACACAGATGCAATTATTATTTCCATTTTACCAACAAGAAACCTAAGAGACAGAGGTTATATCATTTGTTCAAGAACCCAATATACAAGACACCAGCTCTGCACTCGGGCCCACATTATGCCCCCACTGTGTGGGCTGCTCATCACGGAGACGACAGGCAGCCTCTCTGAGGACGAGGTTCAGGCGCTAATAAGCTATGCTTTTCATCTCTGTCTCGTGGGAAGGCAGAATTGCCAGCAATCAAAATGTTCTGAGATAAATGCCATGGGAAGAGAAGTTGGAGAAACTTAGGAATGTAGGAAAAAAAACCTTGAAATTTCATTACAGGCAAGAAAGTGGGTTTTTTTTTGTTTGTTTGTTTGTTTGTTTGTGTGTGTGTGTATATGTTTGTCTTTTGCTTTCTCATCCTTGGAAATACGTCCAGGTCTGTGCCTCAGCATCACAGTGAAGGCCATGCAGGATGGAGAGAGCTGCTGGAGGAGAGGAAGAGCTGAGTGTCAGGGTTTAAATGCCTGTTCCCAACGGGAAGTGGATGTGGTCACCCTCCTGACTGCAAGCATGACGTGACGAACTCTGATGAATAGAAGCAACCTTAGCGCCTGACGACCACAGACGGCAACAGCCCACGGGGACTTGACAACAGGTGGACACAATCCCTCCAACTGTTCCCAGTGGCGATCTCAGCACAGGACTCTGCTTCAGGAAAACAGAGAAGGGCTGGCCAGCCAGGGCCTCAGCACGGCTGCCGCCACCCGCTGCCTGTCTGCTTCCAGCCAGCTGTCCCCACTGCCCTGGGTTTCTCCTTCCTCTGCTATCCCCTTCCTCTTCCTCATTTGCTCCTCCTCACCAGCTTGGAAAACCCTCCAGGCTGAAGAGCAACTGGAACAAATCCTACAGAAGAAGTGGGGCCTAGGCCGGCTGGAACACCTGTGGATCTAAAAAAAAAAAAAAAAAGAAAAGAAAGACTATTCCTAATCTTATTATAAAAAACAAACAGGGACCGGCGAGGTGGTGCAGCAGGTTAAAGCCTTGGCCTGCACTGCCGGCATCCCATATGGGTGCCAGCTCAAGTCCTGGCTGCTCTACTTCCAACCCAGCTCCTTGCTAATGCACCAGGGAAGGCAGCAGAGGATGGCTCAATTCCTTGGGCCCCTGCAACCACGCGGGAGACTGGAAGAAGTTCCGCAGTTCCTGGCTCCTCACTTCAGATCAGCTCAGCTCCAGCCATTGTGGCCTTTTGAGGTGTGAACCAGCAGATGGAAGTCCTCTCTCTCTGTCCCTACCTCTTTCTGTAACTCTTTCAAATAAATAAAACAAATCTTTAAAAAAATAAATAACCAATAAAATAACTCAACAATGAAATCCAAAGATACATCATGAGTCTAAAATTATTACAAGATCAGAATTAAATTTGAAAGCAAGAGAGGGACTGACAAACTACAGTGCATATTTCCCAGAATTACAGGACAGTTTGCTCTTCAACAGACTTCGAACAGAAGTTCCTTGAGCAAGAGGAACGTTGGGCAATGTTGACAAAGAGTCGCTTATTCCTGTCTCTGTGGGACACCGTGGCATTCTAGGGCCAGCCAGCCACAATACACTGTGTGGTATCCTCAGTCAGGGACACTTCCTTGTCCCAGACACTCAAGTCGGAGAAGTGTAATGTAAGGCTGAACCAGGCTTCACTACACTCTGCCTTGGTTTCGGCTAGATCTTGACTGAGTGAAACCTGGGTGACTTGTTCTTAATTGGAAAATCTCTCAACAGGTCAGCTGAGGCTTCTAGAAATTTCTTCTAGTCCACATATTAAACTAGAGAACAGTTACAACAAAAGACGTCCAGGAGCTTTGGGCATCACAAGAATCTAGCCAAGGAAGGGTCAAGATGCAAAACGGGATGTGGTGGTGACAACTTACAAGTCAGGGTACCCTCAAGTCCCTGGAAATCAGTGAGTCTGATGCTGTCAGACGAGACTCAAATTGAAGAGGTCCATCTTTTATTGGAGTTGGATAGTCAATGCTCTTCTCACTTACTTGGCAAACTGGATAAACGACCTATTTTTCAAGGTGGACAATTACCTCCAGGGCGAACATCCTGTCCATCATGCTCCTCGATGAGGTGGCGTCAGCAACGATATGAACCTCGATGCCGCGGCCAACGAGCTCCAGGGCCGTCTGCTGGATGCACACATGAGTCTCGTAGGAAAGCAAAGACCACGGGTAAGAATACAGTAAGCTGAAACATTTTACATACATACAGCAGCATGAAAAAGCAGAAGCGCACTACAAGGCTATCGGCTTCCTTCTACATCTGGTTTTGCCTCTAACTGGCGAAGTAATCTTGAGTGTAAAATAGCACCTTGGGCTTTGGTTACTCATCTGTAAGGTCAGGAACTGGACAGCATCACTGCTTCTCAGCCTGGGAGCCTGGAGCACACTCCTCAAGTTCTGGGCACATTTCCTGCATCATCTCGATGACCTCCCCACGGCTGACTGTGATCACTTAGTTTAGATCCCACCTGCATTTGAGTTTACCTCTGGATTCAGACCAAGGGCCCAACACAAAGGTTGAGTCTGCAAGGTAAGAATGTAGCGGGGAAAACTGAGCTGTGACAAGGCACCCCATGCTAAAGGCAGGCCACGCTAAAATTAGGCTATGGACCAGGCAAAAGTCACCCGGTTTCCATCCCCACAACTGTAACATACATATCGTAGCTCTGAAAATACTAACTCATAACCACATAGCAGCAGGGCATACAGAGGGAAAGCATGCTCCAACAAAAACTGAATTTATACAGTCATCAGAGGCAGATCTCAGAACGTCACAATGTCATCTTTATCTCTCCATGACAAGACAGCTTTGGAGAGTCATCAACTGACAATTCATTAAAATTAGCACAGGAGGACTGCTTACAGATCTTTCTGATTAAGCATGAAATCTAATTATGGTGAACAAGCAAAAAAAAGGGCAAAAGTAGCATTTGGTATGTATATGAACAGGCATCTTCCACACTGTCATTTTTGAATTCAGTATACAGAAAAACATAATGTACATCCTTCTATAAGTAAGACCTGCTACCTTAAAACCTATTTTCAAACTATCACAAGTACAGTAAACAGATTTCCTTGTCTTCATAGTCTTTCTCTCAATCTCTTCAACTTCAATATAACAGCTGTCTAAAGTCTAGGAATAAATCAATGGAAATCACCACAAGGAAGTGAATTTTTGTCCTTGCTACATGACCTTTATAGTTTTCCTAGCATACAAATATGACAAAAGTGAAATCCTACAACACACACATACAATGATTGTGCTGAACAAGTGTTCAAAAGCTTAGGTTAAAAGCTGAGCCAAGAAGCAGTTGGTCTACCTTCAAATCCAGCTCTATTCCTGACCTGACCAGGTACATGACCTTGGGCAAGTTGTATTTTGTTTCTTCATCTGTAATATGGCAAGTACTGGCTTCAGACTTCAAACTTAGTTCATAAAGTTGCTGTGAGGGGTTGATGAGTGAGTAGCAATACAGAGTTTGGATCAGTTCCACACCAGCAGGGAACACGTAATTCAGTGTGAATTCTCATCATGAGGATGACCCACACAGCATTCTACACACAAAACTGCTGTCTGGAAACACCAAGACTTATCCAAATGCTATTGTCCTCAAATCATAATAAGTGTACTCACTTCCACTCCAAAGAGTACAACACTCCTGACTCCAGGAATCTCTGCTAATGCTGCTTCCACTTCTGGTAACACCATGGAAAACTTGGTCTTGGGAAGAACCAGTTTTACTCCTGTTAAATCAATTTCTTGAACAGTGCTTCCAAGACCCTTAGGATACTGTTCTGTTACAATAACCGGAATTCCTAAAATCCGGGCCCCTTGCAACTGAAAAAAAAATAACCAAACACAAAAACCATCAGCAGTATGCATGGTACATGTAAGAAAATATGTCATGTTTCAGCAAACTAGAACTCAGAAGAAAACATACCAGTCTCTGTCCAACACTAATAATATCCCCAAAATACTTGATGGCTGGTCTGAACCTTTCCTGCATATCACAGCAGAAAAACACAGTGCTTGAAGGTGTAAGATTTCCCAGGGTGGTGAGCTGAGGAAACAAGAAGAAGAAGAAGGAAAGATTTAGTGCTTGTTATACAATGGTATTTATTTTCAGTGGAGGCCAATAAAGGAAAAAACAAATGTTCCTACTGTTTAATCCAGTAAGCTAATTTCCTTTCCTTTTCTTTTCATTCTTTTTTTTGTTTGTCTTGTGTAAGATTTATTTATTTACTTGTTTGGCAGAGTTACAGAGAGGCAGAGGCAGGGAGAAAGAGATCTTCCATCTGCTGGTTCACTCCCCAGATGGCCACAATGGCACCAATCCAAACCGAGGAGCCTGGAGCCTCACCCGGGTCTCTCACACAGGTGCAGAAGCCCAAGCACCTGGGCCATCTTCTACTGCTTTCCCAGACCACAGAAAAGAGATCTGGATGGGAAGCAGAGCACCCAGGACCTAAACCGGCACCCATGTGGGATGCTGGCACTGCAGGTGGCAGCTTTCCCACCATGCTACAGCACCAGCCCTGCAGTAAGGATAATTTCTACAAACATTATCAAAAATAAATTATTTGAATTTTGGTGGAGGGGAAGGCCCACAGAAATACCTTCACAATTGTTTTCAATAGTAACAATTAGAAATAAACCAAGGGCCAATAATACAGAAATGGGTGAAGGAAATTAACACATTCACAAAATATTCTTGACCATATAAAAACCATAAACACACACACACACACACACACACATCAAAGAATCTGTTCCAAAGGAAAGGCTCACTCTAGAATGTTAACTATAAAATAAGCATAGCTCAACAGGATTTAAATAACTTAAAATATGAAAAGTCAAAGGAAATACATGAAAAATTAACATGTAGTCATCTAACTAGGAGTAGTAAACATTCTCTTCTTATAGATTGTGTGTATGCTCCAAATGTATTTAAAAACATTTCTTGGCCAGTGCCTCAACTCAATAGGCTAATCCTCCACCTTCGGCACCGGCATACCAGGTTCTAGTCCCAATCGGGGCGCCGGATTCTGTCCTGGTTGCCCCTCTTCCAGGCCAGCTCTCTGCTGTGGCCAGGGAGTGCAGTGGAGGATGGCCCAAGTGCTTGGGCCCTGCACCCCATAGGAGACCAGGAGAAGCACCTGGCTCCTGCCATCGGATCAGTGCGGTGCACTGGCTGCAGTGCACCGGCCGCGGCGGCCATTGGAGGGTGAACCAAAGGCAAAGGAAGACCTTTCTCTCTGTCTCTCTCTCTCACTGTCCACTTTGCCTGTCAAAAAAAAAAAAAAAAAAAAAGAATAAAAACATTTCCTGAAATTTATTTACAAATATGTTACCTGGCCTAGCAGTTCAAAACACCCACATCTCATATCAAGAGACCCCAAGAGGCAGCAGGTGATCGTTCAAGTAGCTGGGTCCCTGATACTCACACAGGAGACCCAGATGAGTTCCTGCTCCCAGCTTGGACCTGTCCATGCCCCAGATGTGGCTGGCCTTTGGAAAGTGAAACAGTGGATAGAAGTCCTCTCTCTCTCTCTTTCACACACAAATAAATTAATTAATTTAATAAATAATAAAATAAAATTCTTTCTTAAAAGAAAGAACTTCAAAACATGTTAGTGAGAATATGTTAATGAGAAAACAAAATAGACGATGGTTTCACTTAGAAGCACAAAAAGTCAAATTTAAAATCATCTGTAGCAGAAAGCATGAAACATAAAAAAAGCATAAATTCAGAATTCCTGCTACCATCAAACTAGAGATATTAAGATGCTATTTTCAGGGATAACTTTAAATGCAACAGAATAAAGCCAAGCATGCCATGTTAAATGAACTGCCCAGTGCTCGGCGAGAACAGACCGGAGGCTGAGAGCTGCATTTCATGGCTCTCATCATCAGGAAAGACAGTGACTTAACATGGAAGCTGGGCATCAGATCACCGAGCCTGACACGAATCTCCATACCTGGTCTGCTCTAACAACTTGGGCTCAATACACATCTACCAACAACAAAAACAGAAATCACTTCTGAATTCAAGAATTTAACAACCCCAAATTCTGGAAAAATCCACACTGCTTCTCTTCCCATCTTGTAAACTACAGAATTCTCTGTAAATGATGACCCCTGGTTCTGAATAAACAAAGACCACTACTCTTCTCAGCCACATCTTAAAACTTTCCTCTCATTATCTGGCTTTCTCTCCGTAAAAGCACCCCCAGATAACAATGATTAATAATTTTCTAGAAGAGTTCGTGTCCAAGTGCACAGTGGTGGCTTCACCACCATCATGGCCCAGACTCTCCCTCATGAATTAACTGCATCACCCATCTCTTATCAAGGATGATATTAGCTGTTCTAAGTGGCCTGTGCTTTGCTATCCAGGGCCTGGCTGAGGGACTCTGGCACCTCAATCTCCCCTTGGTACTGCCTATGGTTGGATCACCTATAATCCAACACCAAATCCATCTGTCATTCTAACACTATACAGAGGTTTTTCTATTTCTCCTATAAAATATAACTATAACATTGACGTGTAACTGACTATACATTCTAGCTTTGGCTATTTCCTTAATTTTGTATATGCCTCCATTTTGGTCATGTTCACAAGTAGTGAGTATGAACTGTGGATATAAGCATTGCCAAGAAGGCCAATTTTTGTGCATTGAGGATGCTGATTTTATAGATTTATTTATTTGAAAGTCGGAGTTAGAGAGAGACAGTGACAGAACGATCTTCCATCTACTGGTTCACTTCCTAAATGACAGCAACGGCTAGGGCTGGGCCACGCCAAAGCCAGGAGCTTCTTCTGGGTCTCCCACGTGGGTGCAGAGCTCCAAGCACTTGGCCCGTCCTCTGCTACTTTCCCAGGTACATTAATAGGGAGCTGTATCGGAAGTGCAGCAGCCAGGACTCGAACCGGCGTCCATGATGCCAGCATTGCAGGTGGCAGTTCTACTTGCTACACTGTAACACTGGCCCTAAGGATATTATTTAAAAAAAAAAAATCACTGTTTATAACTAGGGATTTTTAATTCCCAGTAAATACGAAATCCTGGCTCAAAGGGCTCAATGTAAACCATGGGTTTCCAGAGCTCCACAAATGTGTGGAGGGTACACTATACAAAGCAGCTGGCCTGCCACAGGCCTGTGTAACAGGAAAGCAACACAATGCTGCCAGTGCAGCCACTCCACAACAGGTGAGAAGCAACACATACGCAAAACAACACTTGCGGGCAGTTACACAGGTGCAAGAGCAGCAAGGCACGAATGAGATCCCCGTGCCGCCTGTGCAACAGAAATCAGCCTGCACTAATTCTGTGCACATTCCCAAGTCTGGTTGTGTAGATACTAAATTTACAGATGTTAGAAACAGCACATCAGAAAGCAAACGGCTGGAGGCAGACCAACGGACGGCAGCAGGAACGACAGCTGACAGAGCAAAGACGCAAAAAACACGAAACGCAGACCAAAACTCAGTGCTACCTTCTAGGGCTCTGCTAAAGGCCTAACAAGCTGCTGTAACTCAGGAAAATATCAAACAAGCCATTCATTAGGAAACTGTTGAATTATAGAGTGTTTCAGGAGAGCTACAAGATATAATAGCCACAACATTTTTATGTTGGAAAATTTAAAGAAGTCAATCTAGCCAGAAAGCCCAAATAGAGAGAGCTGTGGTTCCTGTCACCTGATGCTTCCCTGTGCCTCAGGTCAGCAGTGAGGAGCACTGTTTCTGCAGAGACCACATCAGCTGTTTATCACATGAGAGCCAGATAGTGGTGGGCAGAGAACGCGGCCCTGAAATTCTCACTGGCCGGCAAAACCTTTCTAGGAAAGGAACTCACCCATAAGCTTCCAATAAACAAAGAAACCTCAGGGAAGACAGTGGCAAGGCTGTTAGAGAAAACGACAAAAGCAGAGAGCACAGGATCAAGTCATCAAGGATGACAGGTGATCACTCTGTCAGTCAGCACACCCCCCATACCGAGATCTGGCCACATGCCCTTGAATGTGGCGGCATCCGTAGCAGTGAAATACCGAAGCAAGAGAACACCAGCACACAGACCTCAGCTAGGGAATGGTGATTACTGTGATTAATTATCTCGCACTGATATAGCGCACTCCTGCTGGAATGGGAGAATGACCTTCACGATGTTCCTTGCAACATCCCACAAGCCCAATGCCATCAGAAAAACCCGCGTGGAGGGACCCACGGCCAGCATGCCTCAGACCTGCCAAGGTGCTTACAACAGTGAGAGTCTGAGACACTGTCACAGCCCACCGGAGTCAAAGGGAACATGGCAACTAAAATACAATCTCAGACTGGATTCTAGAAAAGGGATATCATGGCAAAACTAGTGAAATCCAGAGAAAGTGCGGAGTTCAGTTTATCCTAACACAGCAGTGTTGGTCCCCAGATTGTAACAAATGAACTGCAGAGAAACCCAAGGTGTTCACAACAGAGGAATCTCGGACCAGGAACACAGGCACTTTTAACTTCGCTGAAATCTAAAACCATTCTAAAATTAAAAGCCTATTCGAAAAATAAACAAAAGGCATCCCTGGCTACAGTAGTTGGGAGAAATGATGCTACTTCGTGAATAACCTCCATAGTTCACAAGCCAGGAAAAAGGCTATGAGGCTACCAAAAACAAACCAGAAACCTCTCACCGTGGCCAACCAATCCTCTCCTGCCCCCACTCCAAAATCATGGACCTTCCAATCACCTGTTGTGAAAATGACACAATTCTATGTAATTCAGAAATCTTTTAACTGTCATTCATGAATTTCTCTTACATCAAAATCTTTTGGAGAACTAAAAATACCGCCAGCTGTCACAAATTTACATATTGCAACTATGTTGCCTCAATCTTGACACAGCAAATTCAACATGGACTTTGCCCAGTATTACAAATAAAAGTGTAGCAATTATAGATCAATGTATATGCAAGAAGCATGAAGAAATCACATGTAATCCGGATGAGAAGTAAGCTACTTAGAAATGTCCCTGGAAACATAAAATTAAAAGTATGAGTTTGATATAATTTTTTCAGAATACATGGAAAATACATATTATGAAAAAACTATGCATGGATTTCAAAGGTTTTTTCGCAATAAAATAAACTCAGATTTTGAACTCATGTTTCCATGAACTTCTGGAGGCACTCTTATGTGTGTACACACAGTCACACCTTCATATACCCTTAGGTTTATTCAGACACACACATTCAAATACACAAAGTTTACCATGTGTGTTGGCTTTCGTAAGTCAAGAGACTGGACTCAGGTATACACTTTCTGTCACTTTCTGAAAAACTGTCACAACTGAGCTGTGACCTCGGAAGTCATATTCCATCAGCGGGTCATCCCCAAGTTCCAGCATTACGGTGCTCATGAGGATGGTTCCCCTTCTCCAGTACAAAAGGGGCTCTGATGTAAGTGTTTTTCAATGACTGTGACGTCTGCAAGAACCTGAGCTGGCCCTGGTGCAGGAGAGTGGTGTGGCCTGCACCAAGTCCATTGACACCACGAAAACAATGCACACTGAGTACAGTGTTGAGCCATGCCTAACCCCAGTACCTCAATGTTCTTACAAAAAGAAACAACCTGGATGGAGGGATACAGGGCAAAGGATCTGAGGCCATGGAGGCAGAGACTGGGTGCCAGGTCTGCATGTCAGCAACCACAGAAGCTGGGAGAGAAGCAAGGAGTCGTTTCTCCCTCACCCCCTTGGAAGGAACCAACCACACAGACAACTAATCTCTACCCTCCAGCCTCTGGGGGTAGTGGCCACCCCCAGCAGGCCACACAGGAGTCATCTATCTTCAGCAGAGACACAAAGCCTGCATGATCTGCTAGCAGGAGACAAGGCAGGGCATCATCGGCATCCTTATTTCCCTGCCACGTGCCTCCCAGAAGTGTGATGACCACAGCCATGGAAGGCATTGCTCCCACACTGGCTCACTGAAAACTGTCTGCTGTGGCTTCCTCAAGGGACAAGGAACCGCTACACAGCAGAGACTAGCAGACATTAGTATCTGAGTCCAAATCTCCATTTCAGTCACATAAATGAGATCAATCGTCAACATCTCCAAACGTAAGGACAAATCCTGTGACAAGGTAGAGAAACAGTATCCCCCTCAAAGGACCATTTCAGCAATAAAAGCTCCATGTCATCAAGCAGGAAATGTCTTGGCTTTCTGTGATATCCCTCATACAAAGTACAGCTCAGTGCATGTAAAAAAAAAATGTACTCTCTAGTGAGGTTAAATATCATTTACTATCAAGATCTTGGAAAGCTACATCATCAACAATATTGAATCTACACTAGGGTTCCCCTTCACTGGCACCATGAAAGGGAGAAAATCCTCCAAATGCAGATCCTCGCTGCCACCCTCAGATCCATTGTACTGCCAAGCAGCCTCTAACGTACTCACAGAGGGGGTCAGGACAACACCCTCCCAAGAAACCACGAGGGTGACCCAACACCACCAACTCAGGATCCCCGACTGCACACCTGCTCCTTAGTCCAAGCAGCCTGCCTGACTCTCACTCGGACTGCAGGGCCCGAGCCCACCCATCTACCTACTCTAACTGCCATGCTCCTGGACAAAGCCCAAAGGAGCAAACCAAAGGCAGACAGGATGCCTCTCCCCCTGCTTCCCCAATCCTGTGGTTCCTCCCTTCCAGGGTCTCCCAGCTATACCCACAGCCACACCTCCACTTCAAAGGATGGCAGTAATAAACGCCCACTCAAGGAAAGCTGCAGTCCAATCCCCTGCCAATTAACCGTCTCAGGAAGAGGGTCAGAATAACGTTCCCAGGGAAGCCCTTATCTTCTGCCCACACAAAGCTGCCAAAGTCCCCCACCCATGTCCATTAGCTCCTCTCTCCAGCTCAGGCTGCCCTCCCCAGTCACAGGCTGGTGGTATCATCAAATCTACCTGTTTCCAGGGTTAAATGTCTCCCTTACTCAGAACTCAAAAAATACCCTATGAAAAATTAAAACGTGTAAGCCACAAAAATGACCTAGATTCCCACCCTCCTCATATAATCCTCTATTTACATTCTTGCTCATGTGTCTTCAGATTCACCGGACTTCAAGCACTGGACAAAGCTGCGGACATACACACCACGCATGAAACAGGAGCTGTGCCTTCAGCTGCCTGAGTTGTCAGCAGGCAGCCAGGTACGTTGACAGGATATTTACGACTGACACCAAAAAGGCACCACAGCACAACACTGGCAATGGGGGGTCATAAAGAGGAGTTCCCACGGCACCGATCACCAACGGCAGGTGCAGTGTGCAGGCACCACTGCCTGCTCCAGCTCACTGACCTGAGCAGTCAGAGGGGAGCGTGCAGGCGAGCCCAGGCCCTGTGCCAATGAAGACCACCTAGTAGAAAACCAGTGCGTAAGCTGGGCCCCAGAGGCCCCAGGGCCTATCTCTGGCGAAATAATAAGTCCCCATATTTAGGCAAAGGGACCCACCCCACTGGAGCAGAATTCATGCTCTTTGTCCTAACCTCGGGGAAGGGAACTGCCACCCCCAGCAGCATGGCTGCACCAGGGGCCATCCAAGTGACAGCCACAAATGCCAAAGATCAATGAGCAGCAGCAAGATAAATGAACAGACAAAAGCTCCGGCGTGTGTGACTTGTTTTCTACCCTGCTCAGCGTTCTCCTTCGGCACGAAATGGAAACAGGAATGCAACGGGGGCCGTGAGCTCTGCCTCCTGGGGCTGTATAATCTCCATCACCTTCCCACCGCTCTACTTCTTGATGTTCTGCTCTTCCACAAAATGCAGGAGGTGGATCACAGGGTGAGGAGCAAGAACTGAATCCAGGTTTGCATCCAAGCAACCATGCACTGAAAGCTGCCACTCAAATGTTTGTGGAATGAACTCTAGGCTTTCCTGCAGGACAGAACATCCTGCCACTAAGATTAAACAGCTGGATTCCCAAAAGCACAGCCTGTGCAGGAGTCACGAAAAGAAGTATCCTTCTCTTCCAAGTGTGTGTGTGTGTGTGTGTGTGTGCATACACATCTCACCTCACACAGATACAATTAAGTATGTGAAGTACATATGCCCCATAGATGGGGCGTGGTGTTCACCTCTCTCTATTCCTTCACATTATCTGCTAAGCTGGGAGCTGGGCCTGCCTCAAGCAAAGCACTAAACAAGATAACATGGAAGTACCTTCAACACTTCAACATATATAAAGTACATAAAATCTAAAAACAGATCAATGATGCTTAAGAATGCTTGGCCTATTCAGTGAGAAAAATTAGATTTTAAAAGGTGAACCACAGGAATGCTATTGCCATAATTATTATTTCAAACATCACAAAAAGTAAGCTGTACATAAACTCCTACACGTAGCAAAATATTTCAGAAGCCACAAGTGACCTGAATTATACAATGCCCGGTGAGGAGGTATGAGCCGTGCCGGGCACTGCCATTTCCATTATTAATTTCCAGGAGGTTTAATTACAAAGAGTCGTCAGTCTGCGGCCTGCAATTTTCAAAACGCAGACAGGCTGCCTCGGGAGGGCAGCTTAGTGCAGCCGAGTCCTCGGGGGCCTCCCCCCACCCGTCCTCTCAGGAACAGCAGCTGCCTGAGGAGGCCGTCAGCATCCTGGGGACTGCTCCAGCCCTCCTGCCTTAGTATCTGGAACCTGGCCTCTGCAAATGGACTTGTCAACGCCGCATCCAACATCCTGGGTATTCTGGCAGAGTCGTCCAAACACAGCCTGACCGCCACGGGCGGTCAGGGCAGCCGTCGACCACGGCCAGCGCCTGAAGACGTAGAAACTGCGGAGTTTCAAGTGCGCAAGGACGGTGGTTCCCCATCCCAGGAAGCAGAGCGAGTCCTGGGGCGTGGGCTCTCTCTGCGGCCCCCTCAGGCTCTCCGGGGGGCGGCCGGCGTTCTCTGCGGTGGCATCCAGGTCCCATCTGCTGCCTGCAACGCTTCTGCACGGGTGCTGTGGGAGCAAGAAACACGGGTCCGGCCGGCCTACTACACTTGCAAGAAAATGGGAATAACCCCGGAGAACCACACCTGCGTGTGCAAAGCCCTCGCTACCCCCAACCCACAAGAAAACAGCTCCTCGGGTTCCCCCTTGCTCCCTTCCAAATGACAAACCTTCCAGTGAATCCTATACAAGGCAGGCAGGCGTCCTAACCCCAGAACAGCTTTAACAAATACAAAGAGACATTAGAAACAACATGAAGGCGCCCTCAAGTTCCGCTTCCTCAGCCAGCACGACTGGGAACTGCTGGTCTACCTGAGCCGGGCACCGCACTCCTGAGCCCGGCGAAGGCTACCCGTGTGGCGTGGACAGGACCAGGCGGCCCCGGGCTGGGACGAGGGCAGCACGGGAGCCGGCCCGTGAGGTCGCCCGGGGGCCGGGAGAGAACGGTGAAGGGTCGGATGACTGAAGTTTGGGGTTCCGCAAGTGGCTAACTCAACTCCGGGGAGCACACGCGCCCAGCCCCGCGCGTCCCGCAACCTCCCGTGTACCGCCACCACCCCCTTCCCCCACCTCCCCAGCCCACAAGGGCCGCTCCCGGGCAGCCCGGGACTCCCGCAGGCGGCCGCGACCGGCGCCGGACACCCGGAGCGCAGGCGGCCGGCCGGCCCAGGACCACACACGTGGGGGCGTCGGCGGGCGCGGCGGCCGGCGGCGGAGGCCCACGCCCCCGCCCCCGCCCCGGCGGGCGGCCGTCCGCTTCCGACCGGCGCCGGCCCCGCGGCTCGCCCTTCCCCGCCGGGCGGCTCCGGGCACCTGAGGAGCGCGGTAGGGGCGGGGACGGCGCCCGGGCGCGCGCGCGGCCCTCCCGCGGGACCCACCTGGATCTGCAGCGGCACGAGGCGCACCTTGCAGCGCTCGCTCACCGCGAAGCCCTTGGGCAGGTCCACGTACTGGCCCCACTCCTCGGCGAAGAGCTGCACCACGAATTTGCGGTGCATGTCGATCTGGTCGCCGTACAGGCTGAGGAACTTCTGGATGAGCAGCTCGTAGCCCGCGCCGTGCGGCACCGACGAGGGCCGCGCGAAAACCGAGAAGCAGAAAAGCACCGGCACCGCGCCCGACGGCGGCCCCGTCCCCGCGCCCGCGCCGCCGCCGCCGCAGGGGAGCGCCGGGACAGCCGGCTCCGCCGCCGCCATGTTCCCCCGAGCGTGTGCGAGCGCCGAGCCGCCGAGGCGCAGGCACCGCCGGCCGCCGCGGCCCCGCCCCCGCGCGCCGCGGCTGAGGGGCGGGCCCTGGCTGCACCGCGGCGGAGGGCGGCCCGGCGCCGGGGCCGGGGTCGCGCGGCGGGGGGCGAGCGCCCGCTCCTGCAGCCCCGCGCCCTCAGAGCGCCCTGGCCCCGGCGCCGCCGTCCGCCGGGCGCCTGCTTTCGCTCGTCTGAGGGACCCGTGCGCCCGGCGCTGAGGTGAGCCTGACGGGGCGAGTGCCCCTGCGCCTTCTCCCGCTGCACCCCGCCGGGTCCTCTGGCTCTCGGACAGCGGAGTGGAGGGTCGGGACTGGGGGGATCCTGGGGCTGCCGGGGCTGGGGTGTGGTTACCTGCCGGCCCCGTGCGGAAGGTGCAGTCCTGGTCGGCAATGGCAGCTGCTGTCTTAAGACCAACAGGGCTGACAGGTGCGCTGACAAGAGCCCGGGACTGGAATGTTTCCCTTGGAAGACCAGTCACGGCTGGGCATGCCGTGTTGTTTCAGTCCCATAGGACGCAGTAAAACATTAAGAGTGTTAGGAGCAAAAATGGGAGCTTGGTACTCAGCCGAGAAATTTTTAAGATTGTAAAGGGGATCGCCGTCGAATAAAGCAGCCTTCTGGGTATGCGTTATAGGTAACAGGGTCCTTACCATCCGGTCCTGCGGCGACGGGCTGTGGGTTGCAAACGTAAAACTTGGGTGATCTGTGGTAGGGATGTCGTCTTCTTAGTAGTGACCTTCGGGGCCGCTGTCCTGGCGCAGCATCCCGCACAGCTCCCTGCTAGCGCCCCTGAGGAGGCGGGAAGATGGCTCTAGCACTAGGGATTCCTGCCACTCGCGTGGGGGACCTGGATGGAGTTCCGGACTCCTGGGTTCAGCCTGACCCAGCTCCTGCTGGTGGGGCCGTTTTGGGGAGTGAACCAGCTGATACAAGAGCGAGCTCGCTCTGTCTCTCCCTCAGCTCTGTAACTCTGCCTTTCAGATAAATAGTAAGTAATGACCTTTAAGGCAGGGTTCTCGGCTGGCACTGTGGAGATTTGCCTGGGAGATCTGCTTGTTCTAGGGCTCTGTCTTGTGCATCCTTAGGATCTTTAGTGGCATCCCTGGCCTCTACTACAACAGGAAGCCTGGAGTCCCACCCCTCTCTAGTCCTGGCAATCAAACAACTCCCAGGGGGCAACTGTGGTAAAGTGGTGCTAAAACCGCTCTCTGGCCTTTCTTATTCATTTGAACCCAAGCTGCTAGAAATTTCTGAGTTCTCATTAAACTTTGAAAGAGCCTGTATAACACTTGTCATCAGGCCCGAAATGATATTTCTGCAGCTGTCATACGACTGTAAGACCTCCCATATGCACTTGTGCCAGGATGTGCCAGTTTGTGCTGTTGAGAAAAATTTACCTTCTCCAGGCTGACTCATGATGAGAAGGAAACTATTCTGGATACACTACTTATGAGAGTGTTCCTTCCACTCCCACTAAGGCTTTCTGCAACTCAGCAGGTTGGAGACCAGCCTAGGCGATTGGCCTGGGCTTCAGACCCTCTCAGCAAGGACCATTGTATCTGCACATACCTCTTGAGGATGCTGAGAGTGGACATCCTTCGTTCTACTCAGCTTTTGAAAATTGGTTTTGACTTTTGGAAACCAGTTTTCACATTCATTGTGCTATCCCAGAGCTGCCTAATTGAAGGGTGCAGTTTCTCTGGCCGTAGCATATCAAGCAGCATTGGTGAAACAGGTGTGTGTGGGGCGCGTTCACCTTTGTTGAGTGCCAGCACATGTCAAGCGTTGAGTGCATCACTGTACCAAAAAAGGACACGAGTGCTTATTTAGCTAACGAAGACTCTTCTCAGGAACCTAATTATGAGAGTAATAATGGGAGCAACCTTATAAATGTTATTAGAAAGAATCAGTGAATAAGGACTCATAAAAGGACATGCCAATGACAAGTGGAAAATCACTAACCTAATTGACAGAATCCCAATTATGGGTGAAATGCCCAGAATGATCTTACACAGAACTCTCAGGAGCTCTCCTAGTTAAAGCTGAACATTTGCTTTTGGAATTTTAAATTCCAAGCAATTCAAGAAGTTAGATTATACAGTATTGATTAATATGTTAATATACTGCAAAAAACAAACTCAGAAATCTCAGTGGATTAACACAAAAAGGCGCAAATCTCACTTTGCCCTGTTAACAGCAAAATGGACAAGCTGATGACTCTCTTTGAGATGCAATTTCCACTTCATATTAAGGCTACCACTCTCGTTTCTCCTTCCTCTCTGTGTTCTGCCTCCTTTCCTGTGTCCCCCTGTTTCCCCACACCTCTAAACATTTGAGTGCACCTGGGCTCAGTGTTCAGCGGTCTTCTCTTCAAAACCTTAGCTTGAAATACCACCTGTGTATCTTTGACTTACAAACTGATGTCAGCTAGGACCTCACCTTTGAACTCTAGACTCATACGAAAGGTCCAGAAGAACTTCATGGAAAATGTGTACAATGAAAAAAAATGGATTTAAAAAATTTTTGCACCAAAAAAAAAATTTATCTTTTAGTTGCATTGTCCAAAATTTTTTGTAGTATGCTACTGTCTATCCCACATATCTACTTTGCCATTTTATAGATATCTCCTATTTAACAAGACCAAACAAAACTCTTGGTTTTTCCCCCTTCGCAAACATTTTCTCTTTCTGGTTAGCATGTAAGCAAGTGGCAACTGCATTTCAGTCACTGAACGTAATACCCATACGTTTAAACCAATTAATAGAAGTTATCTTATGTGAAGAGCAGAAGCATTTTTTAAAACTATGAAGACAGTTTTAGCAACTTGTAGGAGACTATCAAGATGGAGAAGTGAGACAGAATAGGGCAGAATGAATCCTTGGAGAAATGATGGCCCAAAATCAAATATCTATTAAATCTTCAGCATGCTAATTTTTATCTCAGAAACCAACTTTTGACATTTGGTGCTAGGAATGAACCAAGACAGCCAGTGTGAATGAGATTTTGTTGTTGGATTGTCCACTAGCAAGCTATGAATACCCAACCACCAATATCTGTGGAGCACAGATAGTCCCTGGCAATTGTTAAAACTCTCATCAGTATGGCCGGTGCCACGGCTCAATAGGCTAATCCTCCGCCTGCGGCGCTGGCACCCCAGGTTCTAGTCCCGGTTGGGGTGCCGGATTCTGTCCCGGTTGCTCCGTTTCCAGTCCAGCTCTTTGCTGTGGCCCAAGAAGGCAGTGGAGGATGGCCCAAATCCTTGGGCCCTGCACCCACTTGGGAGACCAGAAGGAAGCACCTGGCTCCTGGCTTTGGATCAGCGTGGTGCGCTGGCCGCAGTGCGCCAGCCGGAGCGGCCATTGTGGGGTGACCCAACAGAAAAGGAAGACCTTTCTCTCTGTCTCTCTCACTGTCCACTCTGCCTGTCAAACAACAACAACAAAACAACAACTCTCATCAGTGGTGAACTGCGACCATACACTGCATAGTGGCAATGCCTTAGCTATCTCAAGCATTTGAAAAATAGGTAGAAACAAACGCTAGTTGTAAGAAAAAGCAATTGCCGAGTTTACTGATGCACCAGAAAAAGATAATGAAACTATAATTAGCAATTAAAAGCTAAGTGTCCAATCCAGAATGCTTTTTTTTTTTTTGACAGCATTAAGATAGTCTTTCAGTTCTTGTAATGAGAAGACAAAACGTTGAGGACCAACAACAGGAAGAGCAGTACATTTCCAAAGGTTAAACTCTTCTTTAAAAATGCATATTTCTATGGCAAGATCATGGCCCAGCTGAGAAATGTTTTCATGACACTCGAGATGGGGTTGATGATGCTGTAAATCATAAGGCTTCAGGTTCCTCTAACTGATCCGGTCTACATAAGTGACCAGTGCTCTTCAACCACCTCTCCCTAATGCTTTTGAAGATGATCTAGAGACTTTTTCCCAGGAAAGCATTAGCTCACCCAGGATCTTTCCTAAACTCCTCTCTTGCTATCTAGGCCCATATAAGTCAGTTTAAGCAACAGCAAAACCTGGTCCTACGAAGGCTGAACCTGGTAAAAAAAAGGGACTATGATTCAAAGGCACTGCAAGTACGGGTGAAACAGGAGCTGAGAAATGATGCATGCTCCTGCATTTTGAGGGTGTATAACCAGGAATGTGGAAAATACAGTTGTCAGTTGGGAAACCACCAGAACCAAGGATTTAATACCCTAGTGAGGACCTTGTGAAACAACTGAAAACAGTGCTCCTACGGCCATTCTGCAATAGCCATAAACACACATTCTCACCCCAAGGCTGTGTTACTACTACACCTTCCGTCATATCATACTCTGAAGGGGCATAAACTACTGGACATCTTGCAGAATGTCACCTTCGTCTATAGCAATAAAGTCATGCAAATTGGGCAAAATGAGCAAAAAGTGACTACCCACGGCAGGCCTTACTCTGGAGGAAAGAGAATCGATCTCTTAAGTGAAATTTCCAATGATTTAAACATTTTGAAATTTAGGGCCCCGTGTCCTGGGCATTCAAAGACATTCTCTCTAAAGTACTGGACAAATGACTACTTCTTACCTTTGTACTTCCTACCACCAGAAAGGAAGCAGAGAGGTGTAGGGAACGTCTCTGGATCGTAGAAGCAAGAACACTGTAACAGAGAATAACGTTAGGACTCATTCTGAGGCACATGCAACACAGTCAGCTCTGAGAGGGGATCAGGGCATGGAAAACATTTCCCAGCAGATCCAGGTGATAGTACAAGCATCTTTGCCTCAGGGGCCATCTACCCTGACAGATCTTACAGTATTAGAAATGCTAGTGGGAGCCGGCACTGTCGCCTGCAGTGCTGGCATCCCATGTGGGCGCCAATTTCAGTCCCAGCTGCTCCACTCCCAATCCAGCTCTCTGCTAAGGCCTGGGAAGGCAGTAGTGGATGGTCCAAGGATTTGGGCCTCTGCACCCACGTGGGAGATCTGGA